TAAAAGACTCAGTGGAAATATTTGTTCCTGAATTCAGAGAGGTCAGTTAGAACATTTAAGAAACAATTCATCTCATTTTACAAATGTATAGTCTACTAATTTATATGTTAGAAGAATCTATATAAAGAAGAAAGAGAAAGGGTTTCCTTAAATGCCCACAAGAGAATAGGACATTGTTGAGCCCGTCTGATTTGTTCAAAGATTCACATTAATTAAATGAACTTGGTTTCTTATAGGAAAATGCTTCTGAACTAGCAGTTTCTGTGAGAAGGATATTTTTTAAATGACTATTTATTACATTTAATACAGAGTGGGGCAAAAGTAGGTTTACAGTTGCTCATATGGAAATAATACAATAAATAATAAATAATAATACAAGAATAAACTCTGTTTTGTGTAATCACAACTGCAAACCTACTTTTGCCCAATGCTATATTAAAAGTTCTCTTCCTATATTTTCTGGGAATTCTGGAAGCACTAGATTTATGAAAACACTGTCTCTATAAACCAATCAGAACTATTTTAAGAGACTGTCATCTAATTTATGAATGCCTCCATGGGTAAGAAAATACTTGATATATATAAGGAAGTGAAGGCTTTCCCAATTACAGCCACACAAACACCAGAGAGCTGATAGCTTCAATTTTACAGCATCAGTAATTGGTCAAAAGAAAACAAAAACTGTTCAGTCCAGATGACAAGACATATTCCTAATGAATTTGGATTCACAAGTAGACAAATAAACAAAAACAAATGATCTGTTATCACTCACCCAGCAGAGAATAGATCCCCATAATCTCAACAGAAATCACCAAATAGATAAAAAATATAATCAGATTTCCAAATATTGCCCCCACCAGTGGGAAGTAATTTACTGGCCACCTACAAACCATAGCTATGTTTACATAGGGTGTTCTCTTGCCACTCAGAGAGGATGACTTAGTGGTCCATTACACACCAATCCTTGGACCCAGTTATGGGAAAGGACAGAGTCCAAATCATGAAAGAACTAACAGATGACCAAGAACCAGAAACAAAATAAAAACCATGGAATCAGAGAATTAATGAAAGTAAAGTTCTGTTTCCACTTGGGATTCATTCTGGAGCCAAGAAAAGATGCGTTAAACAGTCCACAAAGCAACACAACTTAACTGGCTCTAACAGGTGAGTCTCTGTGGACTCCTGGTGGGGCGTCCAAACTATCAAAGTGTAATTTTTAAAAACTGAATGCATGACAGGTCACCCAAATATAAAGTGAGCACATGTCAAAGATTTATTTAATTCTTTCATGAAGAAAGCAGCAGGACGATAATGCTAGTTCAGAGTATTCGAAAGACTGAATACCTGTAGGTACTGAAGCCAGATGCTGAACTATGTTGGCTAGATTAGATACAAAACAAGTTAATATCCTACAAAGTATTAAGACTGCATCCTTTGGGTTATCTCTTCTACCTGGCAACAATCATGCATCCCTACCAAGAGTCAAAAAAAGGTACACTTTCTTAGAGAATTGAAGTCTTTGGAGAGCCTGTTAGATAATGCTCTGGTATGATTCCGAAGGGACTTGCAGTCATCCTTTGCCTTATTTCTATGTTTTGGATATTATTTCTTAACAACTGATGCCTTTCATGTGCTGAGCACCCTGCTAGAAGACTATGGTGAATGACCCTTGCATGCCAGTATCTTACAATCTAGCAGAGAAAGACAGCCATGGAAGCAACTAAGTCCAATACTGTATTACAGGTGCTACACTGAGTGGCCAGATATTATGACCACCCCATCAGTACTTCATTGACACTTCCAAAAATACTGAATATTGAAAACTTCCTAAGCAAATACTCGCAAGGTTTTATTATTATTATTTGCATAACTAATTCACTTCATTGTACTGATGGGGTGGTCATAATAATCTGGCCACTCAGTGTACTATAAAAAGTCTTCAAAAGGTACAGGAAAGATACCCAATAGAGGTAATCAGATGCGACTAGGAGACCAAAAGGGCCAAAGGCATTTCCTAGGTGCTGAGGGGGAGAGCTAATTCCAGGTAAGGAAAACAAATGTGAAAAGGTATAAAAGGCAAGTCATTTTACTTGTCACAACCACTAATGATGGCCTTTAATTATATTGTCTTGAATTGTCACTTAGCTGCTTTGAATAATAGCAACATTTCAGCACCATTCTATATTTGGAGTGGAGAAATGTTGGGAAGAGATTGTCTTATGCTTTTTTGAAAAAAGTAAGAGGCAGTGGGCAGCTGATAAGATTTGTAAAAATCAGAAAATTTGACATTTGGAACTGGCTGTGAGATCTTGAGTCAGTCAGCTAAGCAGTGATTCCTTTGTGCACAAGAGTCCGAAACCCACCTATTACCAGCCCCATCTACACTAATAAAAGAGAAACATGGTAATTGGTGTACGACCGCTACCCTTCCCATTGGCTAATCAGCGAGATATGCAAATTAACTGACAGCCAAGATGGCGGCCGGCAGCCAGGCAGCTTGAAACTAACATGAGGCTTGCTTGCCTCAGTGACGGAGGAAACCAACGTTACCCGCTTGCAGCTTCAGGCTTCTGAGCCTGCAGTTTAAGAAACTATGTAAAAAATACCGCCAGACTTCAGCCAGAAGGATTGCAACATTGTAAACAAAGGCCAGAAACCTATTTTAGCAGTGGAGGCCTAAGAGCTGGAGCCTAGCCTCAAGCTAAAGCTGGCTCAGAATTAAAAAAAAAAAGGAAAAAAGGAGCGGTTGGGAGCTTCCATCACC